CCAAAATCCTCAACAAAATCTTAGCAAATCGGATCCAGCAGTACATCAGAAAGATCATACACCATGACCAAGTAGGATTTATCCCAGGGATGCAAGGATGGTACAATATCCGCAAATCAATAAACGTGATACATCACATAAACAAATTGATCAAATAATTAAATCAACCACTCCTCCCCGGGCCACTGACCTTTAGACCACTTCACAACTGACATTCTCTTTCACTTAGATCACATTTCACTTGCTAGGACCATTATCCTTCTCCACTGGACCTTCCTAGGATTCTGACTCCCACCCTATTGGTGTGACTTAGTGGTTGAGCATCAACCTATGAACCAGGAAGTTATGGTTCGATTCCTGGTCAGGGCATATGCCTGGGTTTTGGGCTGGATCCCCATTGTGGAGCATGCAGGAGGCAGCCAATCAATGATTATCTCTCCTCACTGATGTTTCTATCTCTCTCTACCTCTCCCTTCCTCTCCGAAATCAATAAAAAATATATATATATTAAAATCTCTTACTTTCCATCCCTGGGTGCTGGTGCCATTTGGGGGCTCAACCCATCTGGTTTTCCAGATGACCTAATCCTATATAATAAAGAGGTAATATGCAAATTGACCCTCACTCCATCATGCCCTCACAGGATGGCTGCACCCACAGCAGAGGTGGGGTTCCTGTAACAAGCTGTAACGAGCGACCAGCAGGAACCTGAGGCTGTGTGGCGCCAGGCCAGGGTGGGGCAGGGGACTTGAGGCTGCACCCCTGACCCAGCAGGGCTCCTCAGGCTGTGCCTCCTGCCTGGTGGGGCTTGACGGGGGACCTCAGGCTGCATCCCCCGCTCCAGCGCCAGGCCGGGGGACCTCAGGCCACGCCTCCCACCCAGAGGGGCTTGAAGGGGGACCTCAGGCCATGCCCCATGCCCCAGCACTGGGCTGTGGGACCTGAGGCTGCGCTCCCCGCCCAGCAGGGCTTGACGAGGTACCTGAGGCTGCGCCCCCGCACCCAGCAGGTCTTGACGGGAGTGGGGCCGGCCAGGTCTGGATCTTGCCTAATGGGGGTGGGGTCGGCTGGGTCTGGGTCTTGCGCAATTTCGAGGTGCATGCGGGTGGGCAGAGACTTGACTCTGGGTCCCACGGCATGCCCCAGACTCTAACAGGAGGAAGATTTTCATATACATTTTACTAATTTTCTTTCATCTCTGACACTTCTATTATAGAGAAAGGGCAAATAGCAATTATTAAAATATTTCCTCTAATTAATTCCCTTTTAATCTGCACGAATTTTGTGCACCTGGCCACTAGTAAATTTATAATTCTTTACCACGTTTGGCCTTGTGTATTCCTCCTTCGGCAAACTTTACAGTATCATTTAACCTAGCAATGCTTCAAAGTTTTAAGTTACTAAAGACCTTGGAAAACTATGTTTAGGCATATATAAGTATTACTGAAAAGCTTTATCAAAAACCCTTCATTTTAGTTATATTTATTTATTATCTTAAAAATTCTATGAGATTTTAAAGTCAATCCTTATTCAAGCCATTTTCTTGATAAAATTTGTAACAGGGATAACATGACCTTGACAACTTTTAGGAGGCTGGAGAAAAGGCTGAGGGAGATAGGACCAGGCCCTGCAGCTTATTCCCAGGACTGCGAATTCAAAAGTGCCACATTCTTTCCTTTATAAGGGGAGGGGCTGTACTCCTCCCTAGAGCCTCTAAGATTCCTAGGGTTGTAGTTGAAGGGGTAGAGTGAAAGGGTAACATTAAGGATGCCCATTCACCCCAGTGATCAAACAGGTTATGGAAGAAAGAGGCCTTGGTAAAAGAGAGCAGAGCAAGTAGTCCCTCATTGGCTCTGTCCATTCATAGGTGATGCTCTTAGTGGGGGCTGACTGGAGCATTGGGCTCCATCAGTTCAAGGCCATTGCGTGGTTAGGTTCTGATCCTGGGACCTTCTAGCCCCTGAGACAGTCCCTCTCCCAGTGGTTGAACTTGCAATAGAGGGGACACAGAACCTTGAGGTGACATATAGTTTTAAACTGAACTGTTTGTTTCTATGGGGTGGCTTTCTTGCTCTTCCTCTGTCCTGCCTCAGTTGTTAAAAACGCTGAAAGTTATTTTTACCAGTTGCTCAGTGGGTGTCTGGAGCCACAATAGCTGCTGTTGCTAGGTGACAAGGAAGGGAGGGGAATTTGGGGCTGAGACAGTCTGTCAGATGTCCTAGGGAGGATTTCTTTTCTTTTTTTTTTTTTAAAAAAAATATATTTTATTGATTTTTTACAGAGAGGAAGGGAGAGGGATAGAAGGTTAGAAACATCAATGAGAAACACCGATCAGCTGCCTCCTGCACACCACCCCCTACTGGGGATGTGCCCGCAACCAAGGTACATGCCCTTGACTGGAAACGAACCTGGGACCCTTCAGTCCGCAGGCCAACGCTCTATCCACTGAGCCAAACCGGTTAGGGCCCTAGGGAGGATTGCTTATCAGTATTTTTCCCAAGCCTGTAAAACATGCTTAGAGTAAAAGTTATGAAATGTTCCAAAGAGGCTTGTTTGAAGAGGAGGGAGGAAGGGAACTTTCTACTAACTAGAGATTTCTTCATGCAAATTATCCCCAAGTTGTGAAAATAGCAGGGAGGAAGGATATACAAGAATGGAGCCTTGAAAGTAGCTTAATTTGTCTTGCAGTTTGAACAGGGATGCTGTTTGAATAAAAGGAGCTAACAATCTTGGGGTTTAATTATTAGGGGCTTCTCATAAATTGTGGAAGGCTATAGCAAGAAAAAATAGGCCCTTTTCCTGTCCTCACACTCACAATCAACACCAAATACAGGGAAGAAAAATAATGAGATATATGAAGGGACACACTGAAGGCTGTTTTTCTTAAACTGGTGGGAGATGCACAGGTAACAGTTATATTTTTAAGTATTACAGGGACACAAAAAATGTAATAAGAACATCAAAGCTGAAGCCCAGTTCTTTGCAATCAGGTGGGGTGCCTTTGGGGGGTGAGAATGAGGTATGTGCGAATCACTGGCAGCAAAGAACATATGAGTTATGGGTTTGGACCTCTGTATCTGATCCAGCTGGCCCTGTGTCCACAGGTTTCACATGGGCAAATTCAACAAACTATAGATCAAAAATATTTGAAAAAAAATCCCAGAAATCTCCAAAAATCAAAATTTGAATTGCCATGTGCCAAGTACTATGCTGAATTCATATAAATGAAGTGATGTGTAGGAAGACCCTGGTGTGGCCTATGTGCAAATATAGGTTATATGCAAGTACATCCACCATTTTCTATAAGGGACTTGAGCATCCAAGGATTTTGGTGTGCACAGGGGTCCTCTGCAGATACCAACGGACAACTGTAGTGAGGTTTCGTGACCTGATGTTAAGGTTAAATTTTGGATAGGGATTTAGAGATAAGTGCTTCCTTTGCAAAATAACTTACAATGAAGTACCAATTTCTACAAGGTACCTTCTAACTGAAGCAAACATCATAAAACACGAATATTAATAGTGAAAGAAAATGTACTGTGTCAAGATAAAAATTGGCACTGTTGGAGACATGCACGTTTCACAGGAAGGTGGTCAGCCAGGGTAAACTGGCATAAAATGAGAGGAAGCTTCCCTAGCCAATCCCTCAAGTCTTTGAAGCTCAAAAGGGATAGACACAGCACTTCTACCACTAAAGCAGTGGTTCTCAACCTTCTGGCCCTTTAAATACAGTTCCTCATGTTGTGACCCAACCATAAAATTATTTTTGTTGCTACTTCATAACTGTAATGTAGCTACTGTTATGAATCGTAATGTAAATATCTGATATGCAGGATGGTCTTAGGCGACCCCTGTGAAAGGGTCGTTCGACCGCCAAAGGGGTTGCAACCCACCGGTTGAGAACCGCTGCACTAAAGTCTCAACCAGAACTGGCCTCTGCCTCTGTCCCCTCAGGAGGGGGTAATTTGATGGTGAATATATAGTATGTCTGTTACATTGCTAAGTGCAAAAGGATAGTTGGAAAGGTAATCACATACATGCAGTGAACAGAAACAAACCACTCATAAGTTAGAATGCTAGATTATAAATTGCTGATTACATAACATAATAACACTGATATAGGTCCTGTATCCCCTTTGTGAAACTTAGGTAATGGCACACAAAACACTTAGTGAAATGTTGACTTATTCAACGGAACCAGAAATGGAGACACCTTGACAATATTAATCGGAAAGGTGGGAAAAAAGGCAATGACAAAAACTTGTAAGAGTTTATGGGTACTTTTTAAAAAGTCTTCACAAAATATGTAATATATGATTGTATTTTTATATTTATAATTTCATTAGAGCTTGTAACTAACATAAAATTTGGAGTTCATCTACTTCCATGTTACCAAAACCTACCTGGGTCTAATTTTTTCTATGATAAGGAATCTAGAAAACACTTCCCATTGTTCTTATCTCCGCAGAGCCCTGGGCAGGCCTGGAGACAGGATACACATAGGAGGCCCAGTGCCTCCAAGACCTACTGGTCCAGGACTACTGATCTTGAGATTAACAAAATTTATATATCCCCACTAAGCAACACCTTCCTTTAAGGCCAAGTCTACTCTTGATTTTCCTTCTAATCTTTAAAAGAAAATTAAGTGTTTGTTTATTTTTTGAATGTTCCCCATCTTATACAGTACTTAAGTGCTATTGGCAGGAGCCATAGATAAATATGTAGTGAGGTGAAATGTAGAATCGTGAATAATGTGAGCAAGAGCAGACTTTAGCATGGGCATCTCCTAAGACATAAACATAAAAGGTTAGTTTAATTATCCTGAAGTCCCATCCTATGGTAAAATTTGCTTTTTCTAACACATGCCAAATTTTTACTAGTAAAACCAACTTAGAAGAATTCTTAAAATTGAGATGACATTTTTAATACTCTCATCTAAAATTCAGGCAAGTGTGTCAGCCACGATAATTAGTAAATAAACCTGACACCTGACACATGGCCATAAGGCAAGTTGTTTATTCTTTCAAAATGTTAGACTATTTTACAAACTACTAAATCTAAGAGAACCTAAATACATTCATATTTTTAAAAATATGTCATCTATATTGTACCAACACTAGATGATTCAACCTGCAGAAACCTATAAAAATGAGGACCAATCTTGTTGATCTGGAGGTTAAGTTCTGAAAGTGCTTCAGTTGTGAAACTTATTGCAGAGGAAGAACTGCAGGTGGTTCCATGAGAGACACATGCATGTACCTGAAATGAGACCCAAAGCAAGTTCATCACAAGGCAAAGACTTCAGTTTTGTAAAATCTCAGGCCACAGAAAACTTTCTAGTAGTTTTAGCAAAAAGGAAGGAAGCTAGCTGACTCTATATACCACAAGCTAATTATAAATCTACTAGAGGCCCGGTGCACAAAAATTTGTGCACTCGGGGGTGGGGGAGGGTCCCTCAGCCCAGCCTGTGCTCTCTTGCAGTTTGGGACCCCTCGGGGGATGACCACCTGCTGGCTTAGGCCCGCTCCCCGGGGGATTGGACCTAATCTGGCAATCAGACATCCCTCTGGCAGCCCGGGAGCCCTCGGGGGATGTCCACTTGCCAGCGGGAAGCAGGCCTCAGCTGCAGTTGGACATCCTTAGCGCTGCTGAGGAGGCGGGAGAGGCTCCCACCACCACCGCTGTATTGGCAGCCGTCAGCCTGGCTTGTGGCTGAGCAGAGCTCCCCCCTGGGGGAGCGCACTGACCACCAGGGGGCAGCTCCTGCATTGAGCATCTACCCCTGGTGGTCAGTGTGTGTCATAGTGACCAGTCATTCCCAGTCGTTCTGCTGTTAGGGTCAGTTTGATTATTACCCTTTTATTATATAGGATAGAGGCCTGGTGCACGGGTGGGGGCCGGCTGGTTTGCCCTGAAGAGTGTCCCGGATCAGGGTGGGGGTCCCGCTGGGGTGCCTGGCCATCCTGGGTGAGGGGCTGATGGCTGTTTGCAGGCTGGCCACACTCCATTTAGGGTGGGGGGTCCCCACTGGGGTGCCTGGTCAGTCTGGGTGAGGGACTGAGGGCCGTTTTCAGGCTGGCCAAGCCCCCCCCAGCAATGGAAGCTCCCAGCCTCTCCTTTTTTTCTTTTCTTTTTTTAATTCTTGGATTTATTCACCTTCTATAATTGAAACTTCATAGCCTTGAGAGGAGCTCAGAGCCAGCCAGTGCAGGCGGGACAGAAGCTTGGCATCCTCCATCGCCAGGGGCAACCAAGCCTCCTGCTTGCTCCAGCTCCGTGGCCACGGCTGGCTGAAAGCAGGTATCTGGGGTTTATTTACCTTCTATAATTAAAATTTTGTTGCTTTGAGTGGAGCTCAGAGCTGGCTGCAGCAGGCGGGAAGCTTGGCTTCCTCCATCATTGGGGCAACCAAGCCTCCTGCTCGCTCCAGCTCTGTGGCTGCCGGCCGCCATCTTGGTTGGGTTAATTTGCATATAGTTGCTCTGATTGGCTGGTGGGCGTGGCTTAAGGCGTAGCGAAGGTACGGTCAATTTGCATGTTTGTCCTTTATTAGTGTAGATATCTCTCTGAACGGATTTTCTTTTTTGCTTGTTTTCTTTTGTTTTCAACTGATTTTCTTAATTTAACATACAACCTTGTTTTTCCAGTCTAGCACCAGATATACAGTTTGTTCATTACTATGACTTATTGAAACTTTAAAGAGTAAGTCTAGATAAGAAAATTTCAGGAACTTACTTTGAAGTCTTGTACTTCTCCCTAATTGCTTGCTGAGGTCGATGGGGTATATCAAGGCATGCTTTATGTAGCTCACTCAGGCAAGGCACAATTTCACTTAATGAATATCCTGTAAATGCAGCAAGGGTTTCTGGCTAATCAAGACAAAAGAAAAATTGCATCATATAACTTTTTAAGATATGAGAAAGCTGAAGATAAAGCTGTGAAACAAAGGAAATTAATCACTTGGTATTCATATTTATTTCAAAAGACAACATAATCCTTCTTTAGAGACTTTAGACAAAAATATTAACCAGAGTTCTAAATTTGCTCATATTGAACATTTATAATGTACTTAACTAAACTCCCTATTTATATTGAATATAAAAGATTCTTAGCCAAACACAGAAAAAGAAATAAAATAAAAGTAGCCACCTCACTTCTTTCAGCACACAAGTGAGCCTTCAGAATCAAACCTAGTGACCATTTCCAATCTTACCACCTTCTTGGGCCAAGAGGCAACATTAAATGCCCTGTTCCCTTGAAAGCATAATCCAACCTTCTGACCATCTTAATTGGACCCAGGTTGTGAACAACTTTTAGGGGAAAAGTCAACAACTTTTCTTGAAGTGGTCAATGCTTACACTACAAGGGTCCTCCTTGCATGAGAGCAGGCATTGAAGTTTCCAGGCCTGCTTCTGTTAAATGAGCATGTCAACACTATCTTCTTGACTTCCTGCAATCTCTAGTCTCCATAAAGCAAAGCCATTGGGTCAAAGCCACAAACAAAGGCTGTTATAGTCTGCTGGCAAGACTCGTAAGAGGCCAGCCTATTCTAAGCCTTAAGAGTTACTGAACGGCCCTAACCAATTTGGCTCAGTGGATAGAGCATCAGCCTGCGGACTCAAGGGTCCCAGGTTCGATTCCGGTCAAGGGCATGTACCTTGGTTGCGGGCACATCCCCAGTAGGGAGTGTGCAGGAGGCAGCTGATCGATGTTTCTCTCTCATCGATGTTTCTAACTCTCTATCCCTCTCCCTTCCTTTCTGTAAAAAATCAATAAAATATGTTTTTTTTTAAAAGAGTTACTGAACGAATTTTAGAGAGGCCTTGAATTTTAAAAAGTAATTAGAATCTTACCCAGAAATGCCTGTTCACGGTATAGTTTGCCAGGCAATAAGCTGCTGCAGCTATCAATGAAGGAAGATATTTCAAGAATGGGTCAGCTTCAAGTAGACTCAGTTCCGCTACATACTAAAAACAAGAAAGAAAAAGCTCATTGGAATTAGAAATTCGACTAAAGTTACAAGTAAAGTTAAAAATGTCAGGGGAATTGCCCTGGCTGGTGTGGCTCAGTTGGTCGGGTGTCATCCTGTGCACTAAGAGGTTGCCAGTTCCATTCATGCGGTCAGGGCATATGCCCAGGTTGTGGTCTCAATCCCTGGTAGGGGGCCTGCAGGAGGCAGCTGATGTTTCTTCTTCTCTCCACCTTATTCTCTCTCTCTCTCCCTTCCTCTCTCTCTCTCTCTCTCTCTCTCTCTCTCAAAAAAAAAAAAAATGTCAGGGGAAACAATTGTGTCTTATTTTTATTCAAATTATTCACTAGGTTAATAACTACCAGGCCTGTCCACAAACAGAATAATATTTATGTTGTAATAAATTTCAATACACACAGTATATGTGATGGGTTACTTATGTTATACTAGTAGTATAGGTTTATGTTGGTCAGATAAAGTAGCATTGCTCTGGCCACTGGAGTGGGACTATAGACTTAAGCCAAAGGCAAACTATGAGCATATTAAAGCTATTTATATCAGGCAAAATCATGCAGTTCAGAGCTAGAACCAGTGGGAATCTATCAGATTAGAAGAAACATATTTTGAAATTTACATAGATTTTCTTATCACTGTTTGCATAGCACATAAATACCACATATACTAAATCATAGTGGTTGGAAACCAAGTTTTCCAAACCAATATGTACTTTAGTGCCTTCAACTAAGTTCTTTACTCCAAATGACTAAATAATGCTTCATTATTTAATATGTTTGGAGGAGATTAGAGTCAAATCAAATCACATTTACTTTGTTCCTATTCTGTACACCTAAGAATACTGCTTTCATGTGGTCTGTATCTAACACAGGAACAGTTCCCAAGCTTAAGTTTCTTTAAGAGTTGAGTCATTAGACAACCCATGCCTACCAAACATGATCAACAGTAATGTCTCCTAACCCAAAGTTGGGTTCTTAAAATTAGCTCTCTTCCATTGCTAAAAGTTTTTCTGGGCCCACGACAAAAAACAACAACAAAAAACAAACAAACAACAACAAACTAAAAAGGAAAGAAGAACTAAAGGATGATTGGAAAGGCTACTTTTTACCCAATTTGGCACCAACATTCTTGGCAGTCACATGGCATACCTTGGCCAGGTTCTCAGTTATGATGCACACTCCTTGTCTCTTTAGGTACTGAAGGAGAAACTGATTGGTAGTTGGCACTGTCAGATCAAAAGCTAGGACTTTCAGGAGTAGGTGTTCCATTCTTAACAGTTGTCGTTTTGTGTAAGTATCATCAGTTATATAGACAAACTCGTCTACTTCAGGTGGGTATATTTCTTCATATTTCCTATGAAAGGTAAAGAATCTTTGGAAATAATGCTTGGAACCTGTGGCTCTCCTTCCTGTGCTATCAAAACCCTGCCTCTCATATGACCCTTGCAGACTTAAAAAAAATCACTAAATGGTATAGGGCTGTGAAGATACTAGGAATTTGTTTCCAGAACAAGAATATGAATATTACAAAGATATGTTGTACTAACTGCTAGGTAGTAACAGAAACAATTTCCAGTAAGAATTTTAGTTTTGGCCTCTGATATACTGAAAGATTCTGAATGACAGACATACATGTAAACTCCTCTTAATTAAAATCTTCTTGTGGGAAAGAATGTTATGTTGAACACATAGTAGAAAAAAACTCCTTAAGTCTTAGATTTTTAAAAACATTATGTTTAGCTTTCTCTATTGAATTAGCAAATGATGCTATATATCCAAGAGAATAATAATGATACAGTTTCACTGCTATCAATTCTTTGCTTTTATTTTCCTTTTGTAGGGAAATTTTGGCAAGTTTTTAGGCATTAATAACTAGAATATCTGAGACTAGAAGAATAGAAAGGAAAACTACTACTCACCAATAGGTCACTTAATTAAAGGCAGCAACAATCCAGCTCTTTTACACATAATTAGATATTATTATCAATGATTGATAGTAACAGGAACAGTGAATAATTTATTCACTGTATCCACATAAACTGTGGTATTATGGATCATTTAACAGATCATGAAGATGACTTCCATATAACGAAAATTTCCTTAAATAGGACTTTTACTTATACTAGAATACAGCCAAAGACTACACCACAAAATAGTTAAATTGTATGCTGAATTTGAGCTGATGGGCGCTTTGGTCATGAAACTGTATCATAAGCATCTGAATTGAAGAGTGAACATGTGGTAAGGTTCAGTTTCTCAGTAAATACTATAAAAATGATGGTATTTTATCAAAAAAGGCATGAGTAAATTTTAAGTACTGCATTTCTTCAATAAATGAAGAATAAATCATGTGTTTTGACAGACTGTAGTTTCACATTATTTAAGCTGAAGAACACTTACGAAGCCAGAAGAATAGCTGCTGTACCTACAAGCTGCAATTTCCCTCTCAAAACAGACATGCACGAAAGAAACCTATCTAGGAAGTTGACAGCCAAGTAGAGAGTCTCAGCTCGAAGCTTATATTCTTCTCCAACCTCAACCAGCCAATCCACCAGAATCCTTCGCATGCCTTCTGTGATGTCTGGTTGTTTCCTTAGGTAGTGGGCTTTGGGCCTGTATCGTATCTGTTTGGGGAAAGAGTTTTGATATTTAAATACTTGCTGTATCAGAAAGATCATGCCACAGTATAGCTGCTATTTTAAAAATCTCATGAGCAAAGGTTAGAAGGAAACTGATCAAAACACAAATAAATCTTTACTATGACACAAAAGAAAGTGTGAAATTCTGGTTCTGTAATGCAATTACGTAACAAACAACGGAGGGAGGGAAATGGCAACATGGACTATTCCTAAGAGTGAAATGCTTAATATATAAACCATTTGTGTCATAGAGGAATAGTCCAAGTAATTGCTACTCACCTCATAACTATTATTTTTAATAGATATTCTTATATTTAGATGTCATAAGAATGCCATTCATTAATGGTTATGGCCAAGAGTTTATAACTATCTTAATATTTAATATTAAGTGCTTTGGGTGCTGGCAATTGAAGTAGAATTTGGGAAAACTTACTTCAGCTTCTCTAAGGTACTGATGAATTTCTTCAGCATATTCAGTCACATTTATCATGTCTGTACCAAAATCTGATGCATCTTCAGACTGAGCATGAAGAGATGACTCTACCAGCATAGGGGAAACTGCAGGGATTCAACATTATTAGGTAAGACATTTAATTTAAAAACTCATTCTGGAGAAACCAAGATGGCGGCATAGGTAAACACCGGAGATTGCTGCCGCAAACAACCACTTCAAGAATACAACTAAAAGACAAAACAGACATCATCCAGAACCACAGGAAGGCTGGCTGAGTGGAAATTCTACAACTAGAAAGAAAGAGAAGAGCACACTGAGACTCAGAGGAGGTGCAGAAGTAAAGTGCAGAGGTACAGAGGTGCACGCTGAAAGGGCTGGCAACTGAGGATGCGGTTGTCTTTTTCAATCGGGAGGGAGTCTCAAGTTCCCGACTGCTCTGAACTCCAGTTCTGGGCGAGTCTCAGGGGACCCAGTCTCATACGGGGAGAAACTGGACTGTCAGGCATTGGACGGAAGTTGAGGGCAGCTTTCTCTCAGAGGTGCTTGCAGAGATTACCGGGACACTGAGACCCGGGGCCTCTTAGGGCAGGGCTGAGGATCAGCCATAGCTGTTTGCTCCGCCCTGTTGATTCCCTGAGACCCCACCCCACCCAAGCTGTGTGCAGAGGCTTTTGCATATGAATGGCCTGGCCCTTTGCAATCTAAAATTACCTAACAAACTGCAGCTGGGTCAGAGAGACCCAGAACATCCAAAAGA